CAAAATCTTGTTTAACATGAACTGTCATATCTTCGTTATATGTCAACCAAAATGAATGAAACTTTGACAGATGATAGCAAAATGTTCAACCTTTAAAATACATGTTTGAACGCACAGATGTTGCCACTGGTTACTGAGATGTGGTTCGTGTCCGAGAACATATTTGTCGCACTGTGTATAATCGAGATATAATCGCAATACATAATTGAGAACCGTCTCAAAATCAAGGAGGAACGGAGAAGAACTGTACAATTCGCAAGGAATTGTTTCGTTTCTGTGAAACCATGAAAGAAATACAAAGAATATGGTTAAAGGAAATAGAGACGCTACCTATAATTTTTTATAGTAATAAATTGGATATTACACGAATCGTACATTCGCAAAAATTTCTTTGATATTGCCCCGACCTGAACTTGACCGGAAATTTGAATAAAGAGATAAAACGTGACCTGAAGAGTGATATTTCTCGACCGTACTAGGCGTAACTTACTCACTCGCTCTCTTTCTCTCTCTCTCTCTCTCTCTCTCTCTCTCTCTCTCTCTCACACACACACACACACACACACACACACACACACAGCGTTTCTCTCAAAGTACAGAGAATACGACTTCGAATCGAATTTAAATTGATTTTCCTGTAAAAACTGATGCTAAAATCGGAACTCTTTCAATTTTTGCTTGCAGCATCATACAATGAACGCAAGGCATCTTTTTACACGATTTTCATAGACAATAATTTTGTTTTGGTGCACATAAAAAGAAAACAGAGAAAGAATATCAAATAAATACCGTCAAGATCTATTTACCAATTGCTAAAGTTCATAACAAAAAGTGAGAATGCAACCTAACGAAACGAAACAACAAGATTGATACGTATAGTCAACAAAATGCACTTTTTGACTATCACGGACAATTAACAAGACATTGACACAAAGCATAAGCCGTCCCTTGTGCAAACCCTCAAACTTAAACGCGCGCACGGTGTGTGTGTGTGTGTGAGCGCGTGCGTACGTGCGTGTGTGTGCGCACGCGCGCGCGCGCGCGTGTGTGGTGCGTGAGTGGATGTGTGCGTGTGCGTGTGTGTGGTGTGTGTGTGTGTGTGTGTGTGTGTAAAATCACGCTCTGTCTAGTTGATTTGGCATAATTCAAAAGTATAAAAGTGCCGAACGAGCTCATACCGTATCGTTACTAGTCGCTGCCATTAGTTGATTTCCAAGTCTGGCAAGGTATAAAGAATATAAATCGAATGACATGTTTGCGGGTACACACAGTATCATTACGCGCTACGTACCTATATTTTGCAACGTATTAAAATAATCGACGATAATATAATTGTACACATTATAGAAACGTTTCGACTCAATCACAAAAAAAGCATTACTTCTCGGACAATCCGATAATGGAGAAAGGAAAGCATTCTCATTTACTACTAAACGAAATGATAATCATTCTCAAGATCTTGATCGATCATTATACGTCAACGATGTTGTACGTCATATCGCTCACAAGACTCACGCCTCGACGAGACATATATATATAT